TCCTGTGCTTAAAAAAATTTCATAAATCATATTAATTTATATTTATGCATCTTTTTWATGTAATGCATACGAAATAGACACTAATATGAGATAGGTACATTTATTAATTTTGATTTTGATCTATTGTTTTTTAAGACTTATTTTGTAAAGTTAAAGCAAAGTTGTGAATTGAAAGCGTGAAGTATTTATGTAATAAAATAAAAAATCTGAGCTTATATTTATTTATGTGTAATGTGTAATTTATTCATATTGTTTTTATATTTAAAAACTATTCTTATGCTTACAGACCGAAGAAACATAAGTCTCGTGGTTTATTCAAGAACCACAAGCGCAATACTCGCCCATCATTGACACCTGGAACAATTGTCATTTTGTTGACTGGTGTTCACAAGGGTAAACGTGCAGTCTTGTTGAAAACTCTTGATACTGGTTTACTTTTGATCACTGGTCCATTTATTTTGAATGCCATCCCAATGAGACGTGTACATCAAGGTCATGTAATTGCCACCAAGACAAAGTTGGATATTTCCAGTGTTAAGATCCCTGAGGAGGTTGATGACAAGTACTTCAAGCGTACCTTATTGAAGAAAAAGCCCAAGAAGAATGATAGTAAAAGCTTATTTGTTCAAAAACCCAAGGTATTATAGTTTAATTCTTATCTGTTAAACTTTAATATTACTTTAATTTTTAAAAWTTTTTTAGACCTACCGACCAAGTGAAAAAAGGAAGTCTGATCAAAAGATTGTAGATGCACAGGTATTGAACATCATTAAGAAACACCAAGACAAGAAATCTCTTTTCTTGTACCTTTCATCTATGTTTGGCTTAAGAAATAATCAATACCCACACAGAATGCAATTTTAAATTTACTGTATGTATTGGTTGTTTCTTTCTTTATGAATACATGAATATACTACTACATGTATTTTTTATATCAATTTTTTTAATTTGTTTGAACCAGACATTCCTTTCTAAGATTTAAGTATAACCTCCTTAAGATGGTTAAATGCATAATATATAATCCATTATTAAAACTTCAACATTTTTGTCATTAAAAGAGATTTAATTACTATTTAAGGTACTGCTTACAGTAATAATAGGTATTGTATTTTAAGATATTATATTATACCTTATTACCTTATATTATTAGAGTGGCATTGCCAAAGTTATGACAGCTAATCCATGGATGAATGATGTAGACTCATAGATAATACACTACAATATTATGTAGTAATAATTGCCTTCTATCAATGATTCATGAGCGAGTTAAAAGCCGACAGCTGGTTTATAACTTGATATTTGACCAATTATTGTATGAAGTTAATAGAAAAAAGCAGGTGAGTAACCAAAACATAAAAATAAATTAAAATATGAAATAATTGTAGTTCTTATCCCTRTGAGTCTTATTACAAAACCAGAATTCGATATCACCATTATTTCCGGAGATACCGCAATGGGTAAATACTAAATCCTCACGAGACACTATTAWAGATTATWAAAAATTTTCAAATCTTAGATTTAAAAATAATTTTTTTTATGAATTTCTAGCTTAAAATAATTTTCGTGATTTTTACGTATTATGTCAAAATTTAAACTTTAAATGCTTATGAAAAAAATCATKTGTCAACTGCTATTTTAACAATGTGTAAGGTGTCTTGAATTATATTTTCAAGCTTTTCTAAACAACAAACACATTAGTATCGATATTTATAGAAAAAAAACCTAAAAAGTTGAAAAATTAAAATGTCAGTCAACAGCTCAAAACAAATCAAAATAATTTGAAGATTTTATCAAATACAGAAAATGCCTATATAAACATTGAGTGAAAATTTCGAGTATCTGCGGTTATTTGTTTTAGAATTACACCAAAATAAAAAAATCACAAAATGAGAAATCTAGTGAAAATCAAACGTAAAAATTTAAATTTCAAACGCTCATAAAAATGGAATCCGAGTTTCTGGTAGACATTGCTTTTGTGATGAACATTGACAAACTTATAAGGAATCTTGTATTACATTTTCAAATTTTAGATAGGAGTGTTCAATTATACTGATTTGTTGTTAATTGTTGTAGAASGGACATATGTATTATTGGCATAGCCAGACAGTATAGTCTGAAACTCTGAACCACTATGTAGAATTCGAGTTTACATTTTAAGTTACATACATATTTATATTTACTATAGCCTATAGGCAAATTAACTTACTTCAATAATGAATCATAATAATTAAATTGTTCAACTCGTACTCCGCTACTCTTGTGATCTTTAATATAGATACTACCCTCAAGAACGAGATAGCTTAGGTGATGCCGGTGATGGTATACTGTATAATATTATTATTTAATCATTTAATAAACCTTGTATGCGTAACTATATCGTGACACCGTGTTCAATTGTGTTAGTCCAGCGTTTCTTAAACTGTATTCCGCGAAGCTTAAGAATTTTTTTTAAATGTTCAAGAAAATTACTTTAAAATATCCATTATGGAAAATAATACTTGTATATTAAATAATAATGTATAAGCCATATGGAATAATCTATCAGCTAACTCTATATATTCAATAATCTATACTTCTACTTAATATTATAATTTATTTGCAAATAATCCTAAAAAAAACTAAAAAGGTAAAAAGAAGTAGGGGTTCCACGATAAAAGTGGACATCAAAAACGGTTCCACGGATAAAGAAGTTTAAGAAACGCTGTGTTTGTCTATGAACGCAGGTCATAAGTTTCTAGGACCTCTGTAAAATAAAATTACTTAGGAAACTTTATTTGTATCGATCTAACAACCCGGTTCTCAAGACCAGTTCGTGTAGTAGGAATAGGTGACGACTAGTCGGTTAGGTTAACTGGATAAGATTTGGTATAAATATCGACAGACACTTGGTTTAAATAAACGATGTAGGTGTGTTGCAACGCTATTATACACTATAATACTATTTCGAACGTTGAATATTTTGTCACGAACAGACAACTGAGTTGATATACGCATAGGCGCACATAGATGGTGCTTAGCACTCCCAGGTTTAAAATTAGCACCTCATAAACTATTTAAAATATTTA